CCTGCTGAAGTCTCGTTACTCCCGATTCTGCCACTGGGATCCACTGTAACTGACATGAGTTCACATGAACCAGTGTTTGTTCTGTTGCTAAAAGTTCCATATTTGAGCATCGTGACCAGATCCAAACTTGCTTTCCTGGTCTTATAGAAAACCAGACCTGACTGTGTTTTGTTGGAGTCCATCTGTGTGCTCTTTGAGCTGCCAAAACTCACGAAAGCTTAATAAAGCTCCTCCTGCAGCCAAATTAACATTGTACTCAGAACAACAGGGCGACTCTACGTTCACTCTGTTGGCCTGAAGAGTGTTTCAGGCTGTCATGCTTGGCTGCTCAGGATTTCACAGCCAGCGGGTTCAAGCAGAACCAAGATGAAGTGGAAGTTTTTTTTTGTTTTGCCAACTGGATTTCTATTTCAGATCACACACTAATGTTGCCACTGTGACTTCCTGAATATGCCACATGTCTGTATGTTGCAGGAGCACCACTGTCTACGAATAAAGATCCTTGGAGACTGTTACTACTGTGTGTCTGGTCTACCTGAGCCCAGGCCGGACCACGCCCACTGCTGTGTGGAGATGGGCCTCAGCATGATCAAAACCATCAGGTACTGTCGTCCTCCACGCTGTGATCAGTCACACAGCCCTGACTGTCCATGTCAGGCTGTTCAGAGCAGATTGTTGTTCTTTCTCCTTGCAGACAAAAGTCCATTAACCTGTTTAACCTTAAGGTTTTTTTTTTGGCTCTGTTTCACTCCTTTTAGTATAGCCTCATGCTTTTATGTCATGTCTCAAGTGTGGGGTGCACTCAAATAGCAGACTCTGGCCACGGGATAATTCTTATAGCTTTAATATAAAACTAAGGAACAAGAGACCAAAGACAGAAGTTCAACCTGATAAAGACATACAAACCAAAGGAGGTACTGTATATATGGGCTGAAGACCAGGAGACGAGCAACAGGTGAAAACAGTGAGTGGTGATACAAAAACCAGGAAATCAAACCAAAATAAAAGCACAAACCAGGAAGTGAGTCCAAACCATAACAGTTGTACCATGCCATTATCAGGATGGGTTACAGAACTTAGAAATACTAGTTTACATGTGAGTGGAACTATTCACATGGTAGGACGCGGACTTTCCGAGTGTGACTGACACGAGCCGTGGGGTCGTTGCTTCAGTGAGTCAGGTTGTGACTGTTATAATTGGATATGTGATGATATTTGGACAGTTAGCTCCGTTAAAAGTCTTCTGGCTACTAGCAGTTTCTGTTTGCAGTGGATGTACAGACAGTGGATTACTGCGACACTGGTGCTGTGCACTTTGATTCCTAAGCAGATCATTTAATGAACATAATGATCTTGAGAAATGCAGGTCAGACCAAATCTAAGTGTTTTCAGATTTTTTTTGGGGGGGGGGGTGTGTCCCAGTCGCCTCCTTGAGCTGTGTCACAGCCACTGTTGCACCAGCTCTGTGCTGTGTTGATAGGAGCCTGAATCAATGGCCAGACTACAATGACCAACCTCCCATTGTCTTTGCTGCCCTGGCAGCACCTGTCCCTGTCACCTCCTGCCCTATCTTTACCTCACACCTCTCCCTCTGCGCCCCCCTTCCATTCTCCACCACCGGCCTCGGGAGGGGTGCATCTCAGTCCGTGTGCACACATTTCCAACACGCCACAGATTTCTCTGCATGAATGGGGAGAGGAGAGTGTCAGTGTTTAGGGAAGATACAAGCAAAGCAGAGCTAGTCTTCCTGGATTTTTGTGGCAGGGTTTTGTTCTGATTCCTGACACACAACTGACTGTGTGGACGCAAAAACAAAGCCTCCACACACAGTCGCTCTGCAGGTAATTCTGACAAGGCTCACACAGACCCTGGCGTTTCTGCCTTTAAACCTCGAGGTGTTTACATTTTGATCTTCTTTGTCACTGCGTCATTTTGGCCCCGTCACATCACTTTCACCATGAGCGCGAGGGAGGAGAGGGCTGATGTTCGGAGGCAAACCAGGGATTAGAGACGGATAAGCTGTTGGAAATGTGCCTTATAATAAGTCAACGTGGTGAGTTGAGCACAGGCAGCAACAGAAGATATCGGATGAGTCACATTATGTGTCCTGCTGTGGAACAGATTACCCACATGTCCTTTACTTGTGACTGCAATGATTCTTTAGATCATGGTCAGAAGACCTTTACTGAGAAACAGAGAGCAAACGCACAAAAATGTGCACAGATGCTCAGGTAATGGACAAACTACGTAGATCCAGCCGTCAGTTCAATTTAATGTCAGTCGGTTTATTGCTGCAAGAGAGAGCAGCAGAGGGGTGAGGAGGAACAATCTCACCCACACGTTTTAGGCACATCTTCGATTTAGCATAAAAGAAATTCAAAAATCGACATAGGAGACTTGGCGAGTAACATCATCTCACTGTTGACTTGGCCAAGGCTGTCATCTCTCCCTAACCTAACCAAGGTACTGGGAGTCGCCAGAACTCAACATTACAGTGTGTTCAGTAGAGTGTTGTCAGACTGTCCAATGACACTGGTTCGAGGCTGTGAATGACAGAGCAGTGCCTGACATCGACAGCGGCCATGGCACGTCAGTCTCCAGGAACGCCGCTGTGTCTCTGACCTCTGACCTCCGCTGGGAGGCATTCCTTTGAGTCTGTCTGCAGCCGACCGAGTTTGAGCACCTGTCGCAAACTCCCAGGATGCCTTTCACCTTATATTCATCACTGCATTTATGAAGCATGAAATGAAAGTGGGAGACAAGAGCTGGCGTGACTGCCCAGGGTGCTCTTCACAAACCTTTGTCCTGGTTTTATTCTGCTCAGTTATAACAAAGTATGAAATGAGAAACTAAATTTATTAACAAGTGTGAGAAGTCAGTTGAGAATGTGTTTCTTCTCAACTGTGTTCACATCTTGGTGTTTGTCTGTCAGCGTTTTCCAAGTTCTGCTTCACCAAAGGTCAGTTTCATATATGTTAATTTGCTGAATTACTGCACACACACTGTATTATACACACAAAGTTACCCTGGAATATTTTAGACAAAACCGCCCTTTAACTTGAGCACAAAACTAAAAATACGCCAAAATATGCATGGTTATAATTTTACATTCATTTTGCACTAATTTCCATAAACTTGAAGAATATTTTCATAATGAAATAAAACCCTGTAAATATCAGTATTACATTTAAAAGACCATAAGTGTGTATGCGTAGGGGAGAAGTACATGTTGCCCTGTGTACTTAACCCCTAATTCCAATCATTTGTTCAGTATGTTCTAAAAATGGACACAGATGATGATGGTTACTGAACCAGGCCCACTGTGTTTCTTCCAGATATGTGCGGTCACGTACGAAACATGACATCGACATGCGTATCGGGATCCACTCTGGCTCAGTGCTGTGCGGCGTGCTGGGACTCAGAAAGTGGCAGTTTGACGTCTGGTCGTGGGACGTGGACATCGCCAACAAGCTGGAGTCTGGAGGGATCCCAGGGTGAGTGCCCTGTTTTGCAAAAGCGATCTGCATGGCCAGTGGTGGTGGCATCACTTTTCACAAACTCTTGCTCAGTGTGTTTGTGCTGATTTGTAAAATATGCCAATTTAAGGGGCAACAGGAAATGACCTTGTGCTGCAAATGGCAGCTTGTACATTACGTTTGGGTCCCAGGATTGAATGAGCTAGTTTGTCTTTGCACCTCAGACCAGCCGGCCACGCCCGTCATGTGATTCTAGTCTAATGGAAACAACAAAACAAAATACATTAACAACATGTTCAAGATATAGATAAGTACTATAGGTAAATAAATAAATGCAGTACATGCATCTTTACCATTAGCTTTTACTCCTTGAGTGTTAAGATAAGATAGATAAGATAACCCTTTGTTGTCATTGTAACACGTACAACTACATTTTTAGAGTGACCTCCAGCTGGTACAGCAATAGAAAAAAACATAACATATGAAATAAGACCATACAAAAACATAACTGCTAAAAAAAATTACTGTTGCTGATTGTTTGAGGTATTTGTGTTGTGTTTGTGGTTTGGCTCATCTGTAAATGTTTTTGGAAAAACAACATTTAGTTTTCTGTTTTAGTAAATGATTTAGTTAGTATGCAGACTAAAATACTAGTGGATAATGTCTTGGCTCAACATACTGACGCCATCGGCTCTCTATGTGTTCCTAGGATGAGGGCTGATGCGGCACATGTTTAGTAACAGAAGCTGTGGCTGCAGCTCCCGTCAGGAAATTGAAAATGCAAATTGTCTGTTGCAGCAAAAGCTTTTATGCCTTCCCAGCCCAGAAAAGCAACGCATCAATCTGTGGACACTTTAGTGGGAATTTCTTTAAAATGCGGAGAAGGCGTTGTGTTTGTTGGGGCACACAGTCGTGGGAGGTTTACTGTCATCAAACGCAATACGAGGGTTAAAGTGTTTTTTTTTCTTTAGCTGTGTTTTTCACTCGGATGTTCCTGTTTGGCCCTGAGAGGCAGGACGGGATCAGTTCCGTAGATGTCAGTTTTGTCGGACCTCGGCTGCAAAGCACTGACAGGTGAAGCTGCAATGTTTCAGAGCCAGAAGTTCCGTGATTGGCTGATGCATGGTTTCGTCTCATCCAACACAACCTGTATGAAGTGCTAGAACATACTGGTGGGCATCTCCACCACCACCATCAAAACAGAAACTGAGAGAATATCTTTTGGAAGAATGAGCCCCCACAAAAATCTCTGCTGTTGTTCTGTGGAAAAACACATTGCAGTGTGCTGCGTTTAACTTTGATCGATCATGTATCTGCACCTTGGCAGGTGCCCACACAGGTGTTGTGTTGTTTGTCAAGCTTTTGAAATGAGATGGAAACTGGAAGCCACTACCTTTGTCTATGGTAAAATAATAGGACTTATCCTGTATCTGGATTGTCTCTTAAAATATGCCACGAAATATGCTACTGTGAATATTAGTGTGGAGGTTTCAGCCTTTGTTCTACACATGAATTGAGCATCCTGCAGGTTCCAGAGACCTGCCGTCCACTACCTGCTCAGTGCCAAACAGCAGACAGACACACACTGTTCTTATCAGGACCTGCTTTGTGTTGGCTTGTTGTGGAGTTGTTCTGCTGACCTTAAAGCAAGCAATGCACCTTTAAAGTATGATTTTTCAAAGATGAAAGATAAAAGCCACTGGCCTATCATATGTATCTATCCTGTCATCATATCTTATTCCAGACGAATCCACATCTCCAAAGCTGCTCTGGACTGTTTAAATGGTGACTATGAGGTGGAGGAGGGCCACGGGAAGGCCCGCAACGACTTCCTCCGCCGCCACAACATCGAGACCTACCTTATAAAGCAGCCGGAGGAGAGTCTGCTCACCCTGCCGGAGGACATCATGAAGGAGTCGGCCAGCTCCGTTGACCGCCGGGTCAGCAGCGCCACCTTCAATGAGGCGTCCTGGAGCCCTGAGCTTCCCTTCGACAACATTGTGGGAAAGCAGAACGTAAGTCCCACCGCTGCTTGTGAGTCAAGTCGTGTTGTGCGCTTTATCACACTGGAAAATGTCTATCTTAACGACATAGTCCTGCATTCGAGGATTAAACTGTGAAAAAACAGCATATTAAAGGAGGAAATGCTGTTTGCATCACATTGTCAACCTCTTGACCAAACTGAAACAAGTAAAATACTCTCAGCCTGAAGACAGATTTTGTGCATCCTTGCTGCAGGATGAAGTGGTTTGTCAAGATGGACGTTTCTTACAGTGCACGGGAACTTGTCAGTTGTCTCGCCTGTGTGGGTAGTTCTGTCTTTTTTGTTTTTCTGGGAATGAGTGGACAGCTTTCTGTGGAGAGACTGTGTTACTGTGGTAACGTGACAGTGTGTGTCAACCTGCCTGTTTGTGAGGATGAGGAGCCTCTGATCATGTGGCCCATTTAAACAATCTTCTTCATTTGTCTCCATCTCCGTCTTGCTGTTTAATGAGATAGAGTTGCTTGTTTGCTGACTGCCTTCGTTTGGGCCGCACCAGATGTAAAATGAAAGAACCTCCTTGTAAGAAGGAAACGGTGGAACTGAAGCTTTCTGTGCTCACACTCTCGCGGTTGTGTTGATGAAAACTGCAGCGTGAAGTTGTTGTCTGGCGGCTGTTTGGTGTAGCCGCTATCTCAGGCTTCATTAACACAGGCAGTTGAGAGCACCAGTGTAGCTGCCCTGCTAACATTCCTGACAGGCATTACATCCAGCAGAATCAACATGTAAGTGATTAATTGTGTGAGCAACAATGCTCTGAGTATAGGGGTAAATACAGTGTCTCCCTCCTAAAATGGTGCCCCTGTCCCAGCATTCAACACAGTGTGACATACCTTCACGGCAGTGGTAGTACTTGTAAATGCTAAAATATTTTTGTTGTGTAAATAAACTTTATAAAAATAATAGAATAGATGTAGAGAACACCACAGAAGAGGCAGTGTGTTATTTCCATATACCACACCCCCTGTGTTATGATGCTGACAAAGTTCAGGCTGTGCAGTTCTCCGTGAAGCAGGTTAGACCCCCGGCCCGCTTTGCTTATTCACTTTCCTCGGCGACATTCCAGAAGAATGTTGGTGCCAAGCCCTCATAGCCACAAGTCATTCATATGCCCCTACAGTAGGTGGAGGTGTCTGCAGTCCCCCACACTCACACCCACAGGCGTCATCGCTCATACAGGCTCGGGGGTGGCGGGATACAGCTGCATATTCAGGCCACATTTGCATCCCCAGATGAGTTTCGGGGGAGCTGTGGCATTCTGCCCTGCTGGCGGACACCCAGCACCTTCCACCTGGCTGGGACTCGACGTTCCTCCACCAGCATAAACCAGTGACTCTCGACAACGTGCCACTTCTTGTCCAGGCTGCTGAGCTTCACAGTGTCTCTTCAAACCTCTCACTGAAGGAATTAGCTTCATATTTTATGTCAGATATGTTGGCAGGTGGTTACTGGCCATCTTAATTTAGATGTGACTCATGGATCAGAAGCTGGAGGAGTGAGGGCGTTCTTGTATGTTCAGAGATTTAGGGGTATATTTATTTTTGAGCTAATGGACGGTCGTAATCTACAACATGTCAACTGAAAACATGAAAACAGCCTTGTGCAGTTTCTCAGAGCCCATGGAACAAATATTTTTGTCCAACTAATGTTGTAAAATCCAAAAGTGTTGAGTTGTTAATGGTATAAAATGAAGAAAGTCAAAAAGAAAAGTCAGTTGGGCTGGAGTCAAATTCCTTATTTTTGACAATACCTGGCAGTAAAGTTTATGCTTATTCCTGCAGTGGAGAGACAACAGAGGAGGTCGAATTAGAGACACAGGAGCAAAGTTTAGACAGTAATAACTCCCATTAACTGCTGGTTACTGCATACAAAGAGTGGTGATTCATCTTCACATGGAGATTATTGAGACACCAGGAAGCAGGTGTGATAACTGAGGAGAAGTGTTTGGTATCTGTGGCCATCCATTACCTGACCCCCTGAGTCAGTGACATCATATTCTGTCTGTCACTGTGGTTATGGGAACTGTTGTCTGCCCAGGGTCGACTTCTACATCAGACCCTGAGGACTGATGGCTCAGAAGGACCTGGATGGCAGCTCCGTCCCTGGGATCAGACTCCTAGCCCTGTGTGGTCTCTGTGCTTTGGCTCAGTGCCTCTGTCTTTGCCTTGCTCATGCTCCACTGTGTGCCCGCTGGCTCCCATGATGCACGGCACTGTCACAGCGATTTCACCTCAAAGGAGGTCGTGTGTTTCCTCAGAAGACCCAGTTATGCAATGTCTCTGCACCAAGAAATTTAGGTCGGTAAGAAACAGGGCTCATTTTCACATCACTGTTTTGGTTTCAACTTGTGATGGAAGAGCATAACTAACAACTCAGACTCATTCTGAATGCTCCAGCCTTGAACGTTTCATTTCCCTGCCCACATTAAAGACGGGCAAACATTCTTAGCCACAGTTCACATCCAAGTATTTTTGTTTTTGCCATCAAATAAAAATGGTCCTAGTCATCAAAGTAAAATGAAGCAGCTAATTGATTACTGCATGTGACTGTAAAGCTCATTAAGCAGCAACAAACAGTTGTTGGAGAAATGAGAAAGAGAGGCAACTTTGCCGAAAAGTCTTCAACACATTTTGTACCAGGCTTCGTGGCAGTCTATCCAATAGTTGTCCAGGGGTTTCACTTGTGTCGGCCCAGGTCCTGTATTTGCCCTGAGGCATGTTTGCGGGTTACATAACTGCCTGCTTGCAATCCTCTGAAGGGCACGGTTCCAAACATGCCATGTTGCAGGGAATTATACTGTGGTGACCTTACCATAAAAGGAAGATGCAGGAGGCAGTGAGCATCATCCATGCAAAACCCTGCTGGTCCCAAAAGTATGTTCCCGGAGTTTTGTTAGATATTGGATGTGTCAGGCTGAGTTACAGAGGAATGAGTGTAGTGCACATGACGTCTGTACAGATCAGTTTGAGTACAGAATCTCTGGACATACAGATAAGGGAGTAAATAATATACAGTATATGTGACACTGACAGTGTGGAGAATATTTGTTTTATGTTTTTCTTTAAAGTGTCACAAGCAAATGTTATGTTAAAATGCTGCTGCAGTTTCTTGTAACTTGTGAGGAACTGACTGATAAACCTCAAAACTGCAGCCATTTGTAATCTCCTGGCACTGAGCAGCAGCCCTGATTGGACTTTAATCTGTCTGTAATGGTCAGTGACAGTCAGAATGGCCCTGACAGGTAAAACACATTCAGTTATTAAGATTTGTGTGAGAACATCAATTCTCTGAAGTCTCAAAATGAACATTTAATTATCTCAGTATGATGGATTTCGTGTGCCAACGTGTTGAATTAAAGCGAGATGAGGTGAGACATTTGATTAGCTGGAGTTGTTGAGAAGAGACGTATTCAATTTATCACACACATCGTCATCATGCATTTCTCTGCAGAAAGTCTGCAGGATAATTTGTTTATGTGGCTGCTTTAACTTGCAGCTAATGGTGGAGAGCTAATCCACTATAATCAACCAATTTTATCCTATAATGCATTATAAAGTTTATTTCAAAACTACTTTAAAGGTGCATTGAGTAGGATTTTCCCCACTGTAACAATGGGAAAGGACATGGTATCTTCCAGCTACCCTAACCCTAACCCTCTGGATGTGTTGGCATCTAAAGTTAACCTGTTTGTTTTGGTAGCATTAGCCACCTAGCGTGGTCAGGATTTTACCTTTGTGTCGAGTTAATATGATTTTAATTTGGGAGTAACCAACTAATGCTAGCTTCAGACCGTACACTTTGTCCCAACCAGGCATTCGTATTTCACATCGTTGCTAGGAAACAGGATGTGATGGGAGGGGCAGAGAGTGAGTATGGGTCTGTTTAGAGGCTCACTAGACCTTCTAGACTGAAGAGGCATTAGTTGGAGTAGACTTAAACATTCTGGTGGTTAAATTCATTTTTTGAGTATCCGTCAAAGATGAATGCAGTAAAACTGTTTCAGAAAGAGTTTTGTGCATTTGTCATAATATTCTGCAGCCAAACTCTTTGTTCAGCTGTGTTTGTCTTTTACTTCATGCTATATAGATTTTTTCATTTTCATCCGTTTTGTGTCCTCCTTTCCAGTCACAGCTGTGGACATGAATTGCAGCTTTGTTTCAATGCGTGCATAATTACAATCTGTCACCACTAACATAGTGCAGAGTGAACGTGCTGTGAGACAGATGCATGACTTGCTCTGACCTGTCTGTCTGATAGCAGACGTGGCATTTTTGTCGTCCCTTTTCTTCCTGGTCCCTAATTTTGATTTTCTTTTGTCTATGTAATGAATGTAACTGGGTGTCTGTTCTTCTCTTTCATTTGTAACCTGAATGAAACAAAAGGGGGACAAGCAGGTTCATTCTATGTGCATGTGCTTTCCCCCTAGACTCTGGCTGCCCTAACGAGAAATTCGATAAATCTGCTTCCAAACCATCTCGCACAAGCTTTGCATGTCCACTCTGGTCCTGAGGAAATTAACAAGCGAATAGAGAGCGCCATCGACTTACGGAGTGGCGATAAGTTGAGAAGAGAGCATATCAAGCCTTTCTCACTGATGTTTAAAGACTCCAGCCTGGAAGAGAAGGTAGCTGGAGTTTTAGACAGATAACTGTTTTTTTTTTCTTTCTCT